TTGCGTCTGTTATCTATCCTTCGGTGCCAGCATAAATGATGTACGCATGAAATTGTCAACACACTATCCGAGATGTTTACAATCAAATCGTTTTATCAACATGGAATCTAATTATTGCTACTTTTGCTTTCATGCAATTCACAATTGCTCTCTTGGGTATATAGTTTAGGTTAAAAGTTCAATTTTATAAACAAAGAAAAAGAAATTATTGAATAACGTTTTATTAATTAAACATTAACATGTTAAAAATTAAATACCTCGTTCTGGAATAGTTTAACGGCTTAGAAATGGCTAAATAACGGTCAATTGATATGACACAAAGATTGAGTATGGAAGCTGTACAGAAAAGGACATCACTTGTTGACCATACTTTACATAATAACGTATCGAATGGCCAGGCATGATTTAACAATAAATCCAATAGTGATAATGGCATCACAAATAGACCAACTAAGAGATCTGAAAATTTTCAAACCTTTCATCAATTTCAAAAATTTTAGAATAAACTATTAAGGATGAACAATAGTTTATAGTTTTAATAGAAATTAGTGTCATTTAGTGATTTTATGAATATAAATTCTACAGAGTTAAATTCAAACATTCTATAAATTTATGCTCAAATTGTCTTTAATTTAAGATTTGGTTTTGATCATTTCGTAAGTATTTTCATTGCAATTGAAAATTTATCAAGCTGAGTGGAACATTTCTCAAAAATGTTTGCAATCCCTTTGGACCAGGAAGTGTTTCTATGGATATTTTGACGAAATCCTAATATATTGACAAAAAAAAAAAAGAAAAAAGAAAAAAAAGTAAAATAAGCATATTTTAGAAAATTCGTATCGTGGAAATGAACATGAAACATTATTGTATGTTGGTTAATTGAATTTAACCGAAATAGATTGACAAGATTTAAATTTAGAAGAGACATGGAATTTTATCAAAGAACTTCTGAGACAAATATAGCTACAATTAAAGTGATATTTCATTTTGATAAGAACATATTGAAAGTTAATCGGTGAATTCATCATTGATAATAATCTCGATAGTATGAAATATTTAAGGCGATTTGTAAATTATCCCTTATTTAAGTACAAATTTGCTTCCTAAATGATACATTGATGTTTCGTCACATGGATAAACTTACCAGCAGTGGCAAGTGATGTTAACAACTTATTTGTAAATGTTCTCATACGCTTATAAATGATCACGGATAGTATGACAAACGTATTTCCAACTATCACGAAAAATATCAATATGATCTGAAAAGAATTTAATCAATTTACAAATCGACTGATTTAATTAGACGAACATAAAAGATAATTTCCTTAAAATGCTGAGATACTTAATAATAACATATCAATCATTTTATTCAAAGAGTTATTCCATTTTTTCTTCTGTAAAACTTAATAAAATGAAAATTATTAAGATTCATCTAAATTGAAATTTCTCAAAAGAATGAAAAAAATCCTGAAATTATTATTAAAACTATAGTTCAGTTCAACCATTAACTAATCTAAATAATCATACCAAAACAATAGCGATGATGATTTGATGGACAGTCAAATATGACGATAATCTTTCTAATATTGTACAATTCGACATTATTGTTACGAAGATATTGCTGCTGTTACTGCTAGCATAACTGTAATACTGTTCAAAAACAGTAATACTTGTTGAATTTGGTAAAGTTTATATTGAAGCACAATATTGACATCGGTGGTGACAAGTTTGCCATTTTCCTTTAAAAATTAACTAATGTCCGTTTAATTTAATGATGGAAAGATTGTGCAACAGAAAAATAAAATGTTTCTTCTAGAAGCAGCGCTGATTCACTTGTGAATTTACTGGAAATTAAATTTCCTTTTTTTTGAAATAAATTTTTTTTGGAATTTGATATGATGAAATTAGTGAGTATTTTGAAGTGAATACTTCGAAAAGTTTATCAGAATTTTCAAATTATTCTATTTCTGAAAATGAATGATTAAGCAACAAATGATAAATTCAGTTCATTTACTCTTTCAGCTTGAAAATAACAAGAACAAAAAAAAGAAAAGAAAAAAGAAAGGAAAAACAACATCTATCTATTGGAATTTTTTGAAAGAGATAAGTATATATTAATGAAAAATTACAAGAAGATTACTTATTGAACACTTGAAGATATTAAACAGGAAACAACGGAAGAGAAAAAAACTGAAATTAGTAGAAATAAAACTTATCATCTCTCGAATACCAACAGTCATTTCTGATATAAGTAGTTCCTGATGATGATTTTCTTTTTTTATAGTAATAATTGATGATAATTCTTTAAAAATTAATTTAGCAACATTTTCTACTTAATCGATTGTGATAAAAGCAGCAGTAATTTGCTATTTTATTTAATGGAAATGCATGCTGAAATTTCATACATAATACTATGATATGTTTAACGCAATTTCAATGCTTACATCCAAATAGTAAATAATAGAACAGGTAACTGACTTAAACATTGATGTCAATGGAAAGAAAATTATCACAGCAAAAAAAATAACTAAAAAATTCCCGTCGAATAATATTGTTATAATAGAAACATTTTTCAATGAAAATTTAAAAAAAAAAAGGAATAAAAAAAATTAAGGAAAAAAACTCAAATAAGATGCGAATCCATGTGTAAATTAAATTAAACCTTCAAATTTTTAACAAAATACCATTTTACGATTTCTTACTTTATGCATACAACAAACTTTACTTACCGCTTATATTGGAAATTTGCAAAAACTAAAATATAAATTAATAAAAAAAAAAAATAATGAGAGGGAATTTCCACCGGAAGTTATTGAACCACGGATCTCATGAGAATTATGTTTGAGTGATAGAATTGCATCATTATTAATTACAAACAAGAAGGTAGGGGAAAAATGAGAAATCTTGAAAATAAATCAAACTTATCAAAGCTTCGAAGTAAATTTATCAAAATTTCCTTAAAGATATAGTTCAGGTGTAAACAAGAAAGTAATATGATAGGCATCTTTTTTTTCCATTAATTTTTGTTTATTTCTCTGAAATTCTTCATTTACTTTACTCAATTGTGCATAAGTGATATAAGTGATATGAAATGCTTCATAAGAATAAGAAATGAAATGAAAATGATAAAAAGAATATTGAAATATATTTAAGTTTGATGATAAATTTGCACTTGACATTTCAAAAAAGGAATAGCAAAATATTAAGCGAACACTAGTCTATTTTATTATTCGACTTCAATTTTCCAAATTCTACTCCACTAAGCATAAGTAATATAAATATGCTTTTATACCATTGCTAATACCTTAGTGATATGAGTTGACATGCTCTTACACTTTTAACAATAGTTATTGAAATTCAAGAGAAAAAACATTTAATGTTGCATGACTTTTTTTCCTAAAAGTAAATTCTACTTTTTGACTAACTTTCTAGTACAGAAGTAAAATTATAAGCAAATTAAAAAAGGAGTATAAACTTATTTCCCACATATGCATCATGATTTAGATTGTAATTTGAATGAAAATTTTGGCTATTTTTTTATTAAAAAAAAAATAAATGTGGAAATTTTTAATTATAATTTTGTTAAAAAATTGCAAACTAAACTAAATATATATGGAATAATTATTGAAAGGAAAGTAAGTGGACTTTATCACCGTAATCTCAGGAATGCTGAAAAACAACTTCATTTAACTGAAGAAGTTATCAGGCACTACTACTATCCTTGTGAGCCTAGTTACATTATAAAGTAGAAAAATTGATTTAAACTTAGCTGTGCAAATTCCAACACATCAATTTATTTTTAAATGAACACAGCTAATGATCTATTTCTATGTCTTTGCGAAACAAAAATTGCAAATGACACAGCTTCCTCGACTCATTTACTTTACCATGTCCTCGAATTATTTCCGTCGTTGCTTGTTTTTATTCGAAAATAAAAATTAAGATATTAGCTTCAATTGAAACTTCAACTGTCTCATTATGAATTTGGATAGCATAAAATTAGAAAATAAATATGGAAAAAAAGAAAAGACTTATGAAAACAATCCTTTTATCTCCTTTAAAAAGATTAACTTCGCTAAAGTTAGATTAAAAATAAATGTAATCGTTTTTCATAATTGAAAAATGAAAAGAAAACAAAAATTCTAAGCAGTAACTGCAACTAAATTCATCTCAATGAACTAAAAATAAATTTAAAAGTGGAGTACGATATCTCTTGCAGATAATTTCCGAATTACTACGTTTCAGCAGTATGAGGACGATGATTATTAAGGCACCAGCTGGCTGCATCAGCAAAGCCTCTTCCGCATTTCTGTGATTGAAGTACGTTAGGTTTATACGAGCTTTCCATCTCTCTCCTTCTCAATTTAGCTGGAAAAGTATGCTTGCCCACCCAAAAAGTGATCGATACATTTCAGATATAATTTCTGAAAGAGGAAGGGAAAAAAACCCATCACAGCGTGACATATTTCGAAGTATTTCATAACATAGATGACATTTTCCAATCAAAGAAGTTAGCACATTCCTTAACATATCGAAAACATCGCGACAGAATCGCAAAATGATCGTTGTGATTTGAGATATGGAGAAGTTAACAATTGTTATCTGATAGCTTAGACAAATTAGCTTCATTTTCTATATGTATCACATATGCATAACAAATCAGATAAATGTTTCATTTCAAACGAAAAAATTCTGCTTCCATGCAAAATAAATACTCAAAAAGCCTTCAATACGTTAATATAATGATCGCATACATTCTTCCACTTGATTTTCTTCTTTTAATTGAAAATATATCGCAGAAAAATCACTCGATAACACTGCAGCAGGAAATTAAACTTTAAACATTTGCAATTTTCGCCAAATGAGCTTGGAACAGGAACAGGAACAGGAACAGGAACGGGAAAGTAGAACTTTTGATTTTCTATTTGTGTCAAGAGAATGTATCTAGCACAAATAGACAAATAGAAGTAAATGTCTTATACTTAATTTATAAAATGTAATATTGTTAAAAAGAATTTGGCAAGATCTTAATACATATCCTTTTTTGTTTCAGAGTTTGAAAATTTTATTAAGTGATATGAAGCAATAAAACCATTATTTAATGAATAATAGATACTGACAGAAAAATAGTGAAATATATTAACACTCATCGAACTTTCTTGATCTTCATATTGAAACAATAAAAAAAAGTTCATACTAAAGTACAATGGAAATGAAACGGGGAAAAAACATCAGTCCATAAAATGATAATCCACGCATGGTTTACCGATAAAACGATCAAAAAACACCGCGGTACTAAATTCATTTACTTAGAACTTACAAAGTTTTTCTACGATTCGATATATTTACATTTTCACAACATGATAAATAAGTCATGGCTGAAGTTTTGCAATTCTCATTAAATGTAGCGTTCTGTTCATTCAAATTTGTTGCAATTTATAGTACATCATACTAACTGGTGAATCAAAAATAGGAAGTAAATATAATAGGGTATACAAGTTTTTAAAAAAGAAAAGATAATAAACTACAAATATATGAACTTCCGATAAAAGATACTTATGCTCAATTTTGGTGCTATAGAAATGATATTACAACAGTGGTAAACATAAAAGTAACAAGTACAATATAAATCGACCAGAAACTCCATAAATTCCATGTTGCAAGGCAAAACCTATAAAATCACATCTTCGATGAAAGCTGACGACAATAATTAGTAAGTTGGAAGGAAATAAATCAACAAACAAAAACAGAACAAGCGAAAAACCAAGAAGTATAACCTTCAAATATTGTTCGTTCTTTCACATAAAACTGCAAAGGTGAGTTTACCCATATCACTTTAAATACGAAAAATGAGGTATAAGTACGATAATTTTCAAAGTCCGAAATTCCGGAAACTTACATTATGCAAGAGGACAGGAACAGGATAATAGCCAGAAAAAATAATTTCGGGTAGATTATGGGCCATTTATCTGCCGAATTCCCATTATTTTTGGAGCAAAGATATAGACCAATCAAAAAGAAGCAGAGCTGACAAAGTATTGAACAAGATAAGAAAAACCTAGAAAAAAAAGTTTTTTTCCAAGAAGTTTAATTTGATGGATGCATGGAAACAAATTGAAACATGCATGGATAAATCAGGAAATTGGATTTAGACGTAAACGCGGACTTCATGTTGCGGAAAATTATTCCATGAATGAGGAAGAATATTTCTGACCAGACGTCGAGCAAATTTTAAGTAAGCCAGAAATCCGAAAAAGCAACTCACCAATCGACTCGTACATCAATTAATAATGGTAGTGGAAGCTTAAAGTACCACACAGTTAGAATAAAGGTACAACACCAAAGAACGCCATCTATCTGCAATTATGAAAACATGAACACCAAGCAATCCCATAATTCATTATCTTGCTGTACGAAAGGAAAATAAATTTACCTGTAAATTACGTCTTAGTTTTGTTTGGTAACCATTTAGATGAGTATTTAACGATGAAAATCCAGAATCGAACGATTCTGTTGTGTGATTCGTATCCAAACGTCGTCTATTGTAAAATGATCGGTACGTCTCAACATCCCTCAGTTGATAATTTTGGAATGCCATACACTAGTATCACATACTCGAGGAAAATTAACGAAATAACAGTGAATTTAATAAAATCAAAATCTTAAGCAGTCATTTAATACTTCCCGGGTTAGTACGACCAAAATCCACATGAATAAAATATCGTTTGGTTGAAATATGACTGAAAAGTGAATCTTTATCGCAAATTTAAAATTTCAAGAATAACAGAAGACCTAATTCATTGAAAACCAAAATTAAACAGTTTCCCATTTGAATGATATCTCCTGGTCCAAACTACTAATCACATGAACGAAGCGATCCATGGTGGCTGTATAATTTCAACCTCGATACATCCACCTTTCATACTTAATGATTCAGTGATGTATCGCTGCTACTTACCCCAAATACTGCACCGGCCTCTGTCAACTCTATTCCAATCAAAGCATACAAAACAAATTTTGTTTCAAAATGAAGACAAAGTATACCAACCTACCAAATAAAAAGTTATAGTAAAACACACCGCACCCTGAATATTAACATCACGCTATCTAGATATCTCATCCTAACATGCATTACTGTGCGATATTAACCTTCCTTCCCATCCAAATCATGACTTGAATCTAACTCAACGACCTCATTCCTGAATCTCTGATTTAGTTTGCATTCACATCAACCTTCAAATTAAAATCCCTTCAGATTTAAAAAGTTTTTCATCACATAATGTTACACAATGATAACTGATTGCTTGGTAGTAACTGCCGTTGCCTTTTTCGGAGAAAATCATAACAACTGCTTACTTTGAACCGGAGTATTATTTATAAACTGTCAGAAGATTTCATTCCGAAATTACATAACAGACATATTTGCAAACGTGGTACGAAAAAAAAAACGAAAAAAAACAACGGAATAATCATAATCAATTCGCCAATTAAAAGCAAAACTGAAACAGCAAGTGGACAACAATTAAAACAAGGAAAGAGGAATTTCGAAAGAATTTCTGAAGCATAGAAAGAATAAAACGGTTATAAGTGAGCACATTTGCTTCCATAGCAAATACTAGAGCAGTAGGAAATAACAAGTCCTAGGAGTTGGTAGCTTAATGAAACAAGAAAAAAGTTCACATACAGCTACAACAAGCAGTAAAATTTACTGCACTTTGTGTTTCAGATAAAAAAAAAATTCACCTACAATTTACACAACTCATATCACATATAATATTTCATATTATCCTTTCTTGGTCAACTGTAACAATCTCAAGGTCAGGATCATTTTTGCTCACTTCATTTTATACATCATCCTGAATAACAATAACCACTGCACCATATGTACATAATAAATATTGTAAAAAAATGAACCTAAATCTTAAATTAGGATATCATCGCATCGGAAATGAGATCGGAAAAAGAAGACAAAGTTCATCAGTGTTCTCGAAATCATAATTCATGGGAATCATTTCATACTTGTGACTCACGTTACAGATCTTTCAGTGTGAGTAACCGTATTGTTCACATAATCATATATTTTTACGCCGTTTTAGCAAATGAAGAGAACACTGAGAAATAACCCGAGGCAATTATGTTTAAGTCGCTAGACCAGATCTTTTTTACAGTTTCGAGGCATCGATTTCAAACGACTCGAAGAACGCACTGCCGATATTCCATCATCTGAAACAATTGAGAACAGTGGCAAAATCAGAGGAAGACAATATAATGAGTTATCTCGTTAAGCAAACAGCGGATATCAGCAACTGAAATTTTTTCCTCCAAGACATTTCGGATAAATAATTATACCCGATATTTTGATGGCTAATAAAAGCACCGAACGTGGACATCCATTCTGCATTGAAGAGCTATCTGTACTTTTAAATGGATTAAAAAAGAAAAAACATTTTATTTTCCTTTATCAGAAAAAAAAATACCACAACATTTAATGTTTATTAAAGAAGCAAGGGAAGAAAATTACATGAACTTTGAGTAAGCGCCGAAGCACTAACACCCATGCACGGTTGTGAGGGTCGATGGGCAGCATATTCTGGACTTTGGGAACGATCAGCACGACTCGAAGATCTTCGAACACGATCATCTTCCGAATTTTCTTCGTCCGCTTCTGAAGACGAGCAAAATGCTGATCGATTATTATCGTTCATCAATGAAGACCTTTGACTATCATCATCTTCTTGACCTCCGCCACAACTACCCACTGCTCCATTTCGATGATCTCAAATTCATTTTGTTTCATTTCTTTTACTCTGGAAAGCGCATTTTTCCAAATTCCATCACAAATGAATCAAAGAAAGTGATTACGCAAGCTATCTAAAGAAAAAAAAACTGCAAAATGCAACAAGATGAAACGAAAGTAGGGGATAAATATTACTTATCCTATTCCGACTATTTGGCCTAGTATTTGTTAAACTAGGCTTTTCGTGTACGTGCCTTGCATCATTCTCGAATAACAGTGCATCGGAGACAGCATCGTAGTGTTCGCTGACATCCATAAGATGACTATCAGGTGAATCCATTACTTCTTTTGAGTGCTTCAATAAAAAAAATACACAAAGCTGGTAATGAGATCTATGAAAATAATGAAAGCGTAACAAATACGTCAAGAAAACACAACTTTTATGTTCATTGCAGGGATACTTGGAAACAAACATACTGTGTCGCTCTGAATATCGGATGGTGGAGCATTTGGCGGGGGTGGAGGTATCATATCGAGCAATGTCTGCTTGGGTGGACTTCTCTTTCCATTCAGAGTACCTCCTTTATTTCGTCCATTCGAACTTCCTGCAATCATCCTATCATCAGCTTCTAAACATTTATTCATTCTCTCGCAATACAACCTGAACATCCCATCATGGTACAGAACCAGAGAGTGAAGAATGAGACCAGCATTTATACTAGAAGCCCCATATATGCCTACAAAGGTAGGACGATATCTAAAGGGTTCATAAGCTGAACAGTGTATTTCATAAGCAATGCATGTTTCATAAGAAAGTAATCATGAGAAAACGATGTACCTCCAGTACCATCAGAGGACTGTACATAAGAAACGTCGGTATGAGGAGGACTCCCTGAATGATGATGGCCAATAGAGCGCATTTTGCTATCAACAAAGGGAGAACGTCGTTCGCCTAATGTATTATGATGTTTTCCAGCCTCCTTGAAGCGTAGTGGAGGAGCAGAAGGAACCGGGTTGGAAGGAAGCATTGGAGCTCGAAGCATATGATCTTTTAACCATCTCTGCCTGTTGCTCATCACCAAAGTCGTCGTTGCATACGGGGACGGATCATCCTAGAACAAATAATCGAAGTTTTTACATAAGAGATGGAATAAGAATCAACTAATAATCCAATTCATTTCACTACAGTGCTCCAAGTCAGACTTCCTCAGCTGATATAAAAAAGAAACAAGCGAAGTAATACAAAAGTTCACTTTTTTTTCCGTTCAAAAAAATCTGTGGAGAAGTTGTAAATTGTGAAGAAAAAAAACATAAAGAAATTGAGAGACAATTAACCAAAACTTGATGACCACCATAGAATGTTGATAAACTGGATATACCACCGGCAGTAAGTGCAGCATAATGATAATGGTTGGGTGACTGGGCTCGATCTACAGTTCCCAACATATGTGCCGATGTATCACGGTGTAATATTTGGCCATCCATATAAAAATCAGCTTGATGCGGCGTTTGCGTGTAAATGGGCGGCCCGTTACAATGTGCACCATTTATGGAACTATTTAAAAGGGAACGCTGGGCAGAATTAAAATTCGGATGATCCATCCATAAGGCATCTCGAGCTGTCAGATGAACACTACCATCATTGATTTTAATAAACGGCATACCTAATCGAACTGAAAATCGAAAGTGCATCTACCAAATGAACTCTGTTCGAAAAAATTTCTATTAGCATTTCCTAATTAATGTTCTTTGTTTTTTGTAAATTAAACTAAAGCTATCATCAGTACCCTAGATTCTTCGCTTCACTACAAAATGCTTATCACAACAAAAATTAAAAGCTGGGAAAAAGACCAAAACTGAATTACAAGAGTCACAGTAGGTGGGAATTATCTGATTAATTATGTGAGAAATGGGTAACAGAAAATTATATTAAAATAACTACCAGAAATTATATACATTCCATATAATAATAAAAGACATATGGAAAAAAATTCAGGAGAGACAAACCAGCAGCTTTACCCTTCGATTTTCGCCATCTCCACCATATGAAAGTGATGAGGGCGATGAATGTAATCCATATCAATACGCCGGCTGTAGCAATAAACCAAGGCCTTTTGATAATATGTAGCAAACGATCACCAGATGAAATTCCACTCATTAACCGGATATGTTCTCGCAGTGTTGCTTCATCTAATAACAATTACATTTATTTATTTCTTTACTGCATACGAAGTAAAATCTCAACAACATATCTTAATTCATGATAAAAATTTTTGCCCTTTTCAGGATCGAATTGCTTACTCATTGTAACAGCTTCAAGTCCATGGTAAACCCCAACACCAGCGTTACTTCGTGCTGCAACTTTGACTCCATAGGTCATCTCAGGTATAAGATGAAACAACGTAACGCTTGCTGCACGTTCATTTGTTGTAATGTTTCGATTATATTTAGCACCACTACCCAGTACGATAATCTGGAAGCAAAAAATTGAGTTTTGTCAATTGAAATAAAAAATGACGAAAAATCAGAAATTCGAAACTAACCTGGAAACCTTTTAGAATCCCGTTTATTCCATCCGCAGGCGGTGGACGCCACGAAATTCTCAACGTCGTCAAATTCATCATTCGAACACGTACATCTGTTGGAGGTGAAGTAGGTGCTGCAATTATTGCGAATATGATACCACTGAATAAAGTCTCTGATTATTGAATAACTGATAATCTCCTTCGACAAAGAAATGTAAAAACTTCGCTTCCAATTGCATCTCAATTAATAATTAGAGGAAGATAATGCTATTTTTAAGTACAAAAACTCTACGTTTCAAACTCATCTTGGTAAACAAGTGCAAACGGTGCTTATTTCGAAGTTATGTAAATTTTTTTTCTGAAATTATTGTACTATTTTGAAACCGTACTTAATCCAACTAACGAATAAATGTAATTATTAGCAATGATTGCTTCTCTTCCCAAACAACTTTTATGTATTAATTCGAAAAAATTATATTTCATGTGATATACTATTACATAATAGTCAACCTCATTCCTTATCACTAATAATATTCTGAACTAAAATGTGTCACTTAAAAATTGATAAGTAAACACTATTGCAATTCTCAAATTCTTTATAATGAGCAACAGGACAATGGAAGAAAACTTACGAGCTTCGCTAGTAGCTCCATTCAACGAGTTACTCGGCATACCTTGAACGGTTTTGTGATATGGAATCACAAAAAATTCATAATTTTTAAAAGGACGTAAACCATTCACAATGTATGTATCAGTGTTTGGTTGAGAAATGTTCACCCAGTGGCTATCGGTGCCACTAGCTCCAGCCTGTTTTTGACCTGACGTTGTTGGTACCGCTCTCCACTTGATATAATAACCTTCGACTAATGGTTCATTTCTCCGACGCTGCAATTTGATACTACGTGAAAAATACATTCCCCTTTCATCTCCTTTTACTAAAAAAAAATTGACAATAACACGGGAACAATGAAACAGTGATAATGGAAGTATAATAACAAGATTCTCTGGATATAGTCACTGAACCAGTTCTTCTTGTGATGATAATACAACTGCATTCGCATACTTCTCAAATGGGAATGAATTGTATTTTAATTTACGCACTGGTTGGGTTATTAATAGTTCACAACCACACCAACGAGATATAGTTGAATTTTACCTTCCAACTCAATTTCACGGCCGTAGCATTAACAGTAATTGCCTCATCCAATTTGATTAATTGTTCCGATGCAATCCGTTCTCGAGCAGTGTCTAAATCCAAATCTGCATTTGTCATTTCACGTTCACCTAAAAGTTTTATCATGCCTGATCACATTTCAGTGAGTCATAATGCACAAGTCTTTTTGTGAAGGACTCTTCACAAGAATTAAGACGAAGTCTCTCTCAACACCTCGCCTTTTTGCCACTTATCTACTTCGTTTAAATTTCTTATATTTACTGTGTCTACTTTTTCGAAAAACTGTGAGTCTTTGATTTGCTCAAGCTCTCTAGAATCAAACTATCTCTGTGCAGTAGGTCAGATCATAAAATTTACGAGGAAGATCACATTCTCTGCAATTCAGTCGTCACTGAGGAAAAAAAAACTGCCATGCCTTTTCTCGAAACTTACTCTGCTCTTTCTGCGGCTTAGTTTGAATAGCATCGCTCATTGGTGATGGTGGACCAATACCTTCAGAATTTTCTGCACGGACGATGAAAATGTAGGAATGTGAAGACTTCAAGTTCCTTAGATGATACCTTGGACCAGAAATATAGTCAGGGACATTAAACCAGGTCTAAAAATATTTTCAAATTTAATCACCTGTAAAAATGAAACTAAACTACCACAACCGATAGTAAAATCATTAAAATTAGTCTTTTACTTTCAAAAACCGAAGAACACACCTGGCCCATTTCTGGGCTGAAATACTGCAGAAGATAGCCATTAACCAAAGTAACGCCACTCCTTTCTGGAGCAGTCCATTTCAGATCAACACCATCTTCAGTAACATTTTGCAGCGATGGTTTGCCCGGTGCAGATGGAAAAGCAGATAAGTTTGGCATACGAGTAAATGTAACCGATGGATTGGTGTGTTCTGCAGATAATAAGCAACAATAGCCTGATAAAATCACAGGAAAAGGGTGGTACCTAATAAAGTGAATCAAGAGATAAAAAATAATTTCAGGTGCTGTTTTTCTTCGAAATTTAAGATTTCACTGAACTTCCCCTGCAAGTAAAACTTTAATAAAAAAAACCTTGAAAAGATCACAACCTTCAACGACTAGAGATGCCGTCCATGTGGATTCACCATCCTGATTACGTGCTCGACATGTATAAACACCAGTATCACTTTTTCTGCAAACTTATGTAGCTCATACTTTGTTCCTAACTCGAAAAATTTGAAAACGTATCTATAAAAGTGCTTTCACTATGAAATAAAATACAGGACTATGCATGCATAGGACCTACAGAACTATGCAAGTCGTGTTTTAAGTTGATTACTGTTAACAACTGCACTCTTGTAGTCTAATCCCAATAAATGAAAGAGAAAAAATCTTTATAAATCAAAGATATCATTGCAACGCAGCAAGAGTTAGATCAAGAAATTTCTTACTTCAACTCTTCGATCTGCAATGATCCAGAAGAAAGTTGCTTGAAACGTGTTTCAAAGTATGCATCTTCTAGGTCAATTTGTTCGCCATTTTTTAACCAACTAATTTGAGGTATATTGCGACCGCTTGCCGCACAAGGTAATATTGCTGAAGCACCAACCATTAATGTTTGATTAGAATGCCCATGCTCGATAATCGGTGGCGGATGCGAAGGCAGTGCTGAAAGAGAAATATACCTAAACGCAGAGTATTAAAGTACAGAATATTAAAAAGATTAAACTCTAAACAACTGCCAGACTTCTCTCAAACTTGCTCCTCTTACAAAAAAATCCTTCTTTTTTTTTCAAGAAAAAAATGCACTTAAATTATCCGAAACATTTCATCTCTCTGAATCAAATAATAAAATTGTAACAAAGCAATGGAACAAGCATGATATAGGGTGCTTCGGAAAGCATATAAGCAAACGTTTTTTAAATACAGTTCCAGTTGCAAAAAAGAAATTCATGAACAGTTCTACGATCCTTATCGTTAAGCCTAATTTTTATGCCGCTACCAAAAATTTCTGATTTGATATAATTTAAGAACATTCAGTCGTACTCTGAATATTTAGTGTACTGCACAGTCATCACAGCAGTGAATAGAAAAAAGCATAAATATTAACGAGGTCGAGAAGAACGACCTCGTAAATCACTGTTTCAAGTCTATTTTTCTGGCTGCGAGTTTGCAGATTTTGATTTACAACCCAACAATGTATGCCAGTTACAGTAAAAGAAAGTACCAAAAGTTCCATGCAATTAATTTTCAACATTCACTTTTCTGCATTACCAAAATCAAAACCTATAATTCCAATGTACCATTGAAAGAATCCAGCTTAATATCGAAAGTGAGATATACACTTTTTAAAAAAAAAATTTTTTTGTCCTGCCAATAAATAGTCCTTATTCATAACTCTTACACATTTCTTCCTTTAGATCTATAAAAGTTGAAGACACAGGAAATGAAATATATTTGAATAAAGAAAAAAATTACTTCCATTGATGCAATACGGCGATCCGTAAAGGCACGATAAAGAAAGTGTTGTCGTTAAACTTAATACCGTTCCAAATACCATAACGCTGTCAAGGGATCATTCAAATGAAAGAAGTGGAAAAGGGTTAGCTAACGGAATCAACGGCTTCTGCAGTGGCAACAGATGAACATTTGTAGCAGTGATGCTGGTGGTACCGAGATCATATGTGTGTCGGCGCTCTTTACACGATTAGCATCACGTCAGCTTCACAATCATAATCAGTACCTAAGAATTTTAAATACTTTTCGGAAGAATATTACCGAACCACGGATGATGATCAACGCGTTATAAAATAAACACTGGTGAGATGCGCTCATGCTCTTTAACACACAAGCATTGTCCAAAATAATGAAAAGTTAAATACTGGAAGACAAAACCTGGATGATGCAGCGAATTAATATTGCCTCCACCACCGCTATTAAGAGTAGAAATGATCCCAAAGTGAACGATAACATAGATACTGTATTAAATTCAATGAGAAGCCTCTTGAGGGTTCAACATTTGTGTCAACCAGAGTTGAGAGGATGAATGAAATTTAAAAGATTAGCCGTTTAAAAGATGCATACAAAATCATATTTGTAATCTAAATAATGATTTTCTGAATTCTTACAACAACAGCTCGATTAAACTTCATGTATGGACTAATGTATATTCATAAATATTTCATATACTGCCAAATTTATCATAATCAAATCAATAAAAGATAGATGAAAATCCGTTGAAATGTCATTTCTTGAAATTATTAATGATAGATTAATATTTGAGAGACATTGATTGAGAATCGCATTAAACATATACTATAGCAATGGATGAGCATCGATGAAACTAGTGTCAGTCGTTATACCTCTTACCATACTTATCTCCTGTTCATTCTGGCTATTACATATCTGTTAGCGAAACGAAACAAATGGTCAAAACTAATAGAAAGAGAAATGGATGTGTTGGAACTAATTGATTGTATATGTTTACTATGTGTAATATGTACATTTTTTCATTGAAATATAACAGTAAAATGAACATTACAGTTCAATAAAATATGAACAT